ACAATTTGCACGTTCAGACCCAGATTTTCGGCTGACAGTCCAGTCTTTAAACACTTTAACAACAGCTGCTCTTGAACATTTAACGAATTCTGCTGTTTTGCTGCTACTCGCTCCATGGCTCCGAGCACCAACAATCATCCCACGTTCAAAGGCTGTTAAATCGCGTTGTTTACCCATATCTTCAGAAATCACTTCTACTGTCGTAGTAAACAACCTGCTTCCCTATTTATAATGGTTTGGCCCTCTGGCAACTTCAGCGCAAAATTATAGCTAATTTGCCTACAAACATCAGGTGGTCATAATAATCTGGACACTCAGTGTATAGTTCCAGCGTCACAGGCATGAAGAGCTGAGGATGTGACAGTGAAGGGCACCAATCATGTACCCACCCCCTCCTCTCTCCTGATCCATTCGCAAAACACTTTGCATTCTTTTCACACAATACAAGGCATTCTATGAATGGACAAGGGATGATCCAGCCATATAACTGCTCTCCCCTACCCTTGTCCATTCACAGAATGCCTTGTATTATGTGAAAATAGTTTTTGTGAATGGACAAAATGACAGGAAGGGGAGAGTATACGACTGGATCTCCCCTCGCCCAGTCACAGACTGCTTTGTGTTCTTTGAAATGAATACAAGGCTTTTTTGTGAATGGAGTAAGGAGAGGGGGTGGGTATGTGACTGGATCCCTATCACAGCTCTTCATCCCTGCAGCATTAAAAGCATAGCATATACACAGGATACGGCATCAGAGCAGCTATGATTTTTGCAGTAACAGGCAGCTATCTGGAGCTAGGATAATCTTAACTGGAGGTAACTTAACTTGTGGTGTTCATTTTTTTTTCTGGAGTGTAGCTTTAATGTATTTTAGGCATGTCATTTACCTGAAAAACCTCCCTTGTGTAGACATCCAAAAAGCTGGAGACCGCTGCTGGGCGCTGCCCTCTTGGATGTGATGTCAGAAGCTCCAGCAGACTCAGTGCTGTCAATCAAGTGACACTGTATGGCAGGGGTAGCCAAACTTTGGCCCTTCAGCTGTGGAGAAACTACAAATCTGATCATGCACCTGGCTCTGAAAGTCATGCTTGTGGCTTTCCGAGTCTTGCAATGCCTTATTGGGTTTGTACTTTCTCCACAGCTGGAGGACTGATGTTTGGATAGCCCTGGCTCTAAGTTATGGAAAGGGGGCTGTGCTAGGGAATTGACTCTTCCTGGAGTAGTCATATTTTTGAGGACATTCAAAAGCATATTGCATGTGAATTAGTAATTTATGGAAAGGAAAAACACTGCCAGAAAGCATTTTGTATATTTAGTTTTTATGTGCTTTTACCTGCAATTTTTGAGTTGGTGTCAGGGTCTCTTTAAAGCCCATCTCCAGGCCCAAAAAAACCCAGCACCCTTGTAGTGGTGCTATAACTGCACTGCAAAGGTAAAGTGCTTGTTTTTGTCCCTGGGATGGAGAGTAAAGCAGATTTACTTGCCTGATCCTCATTTCCACCTGCTCCCTTGGAAATGCTAGACCGATCCCTGCAGCCTATTTTCCCCCTGGCTCTTGTGGTCTACAGACCACTGATGTCATAATCTCTAATGCAGATTCCACAGACCTGGATTATGCGAGAATACCGAGGGACATTCCAAAGCTGGAGCGGAGAGGGAAAAGATTAGTGTGCTGACTGCCGAGGAGCGAGGACTAGGTAAGAGGACCATCTGCTTTACTCCAGCCCCTAGACAAAAACAAGCATTTAACCCTTATAGTGCAGGAGTAGCCCAGCTGCAACAGTACTTTTTCTGTTTGCTCAAAGAAGGTTTTAACATGTAAAAAAAAAAAAAAAAACTGGAGATAAATTCACTTTAAAATAAAATCTGTGAAAAACCACTGCTGATGTTACCAGTGCCGAGTTACTCCTCTGAAACAAGAATGTAGTTCTGACTTCACTTGCTGCATACTTGTTTTGGATCAGTGACCCAGAAACCAAATGGGATCATTAAAATCAAAATGACAACCAGGCAACTTGTTTTTCAGACATGCCCTTTCCATATTTCTCTCAGCGCAGGTTTGCTTTAATGGCAGATGTGACATTTATCAGGAGAAAAAGAGGACCTTTGCCATTTCCAAAAACTTGCAGCAAAGTGATTCTGGTGCCAAATTCTAAATCAGACATTACATGGCTAATGAACCCTACATAGCACAACATCTTCTACGCAGAAAAATATTTTCTGATGGATCCAATTAAATAACGAAACACTTCACAAACTGCCCTACCACACTTGCTGTTTATCTTCTAGCTTATTTGTGTGTCAACAATCATGTTGGAAAGAAAAGAAGCATGTATTATCCTCTGGCTGTCCTGACCTATGATTACATAATAAAACCTTTTTCCTGTATGTGGTAGGTCCAAGGGAATTTTAAAATAAACAGATTTTTAGTCATCAGAAAGGCAAATAGCAGTAGAAACACTCTCCCTGTAGCAGTGTTCAGGGACTATGCCGTTAAAGGCTTAACATTTGCACATAGTTTCTGACCCCTCTGTGTAGAGATATAAAATGGCCCCCCTCACACAGTGCCCTTGGAAGAAACAGTGCAGTACTATTTGTATTTCTGCTAGGTGGGATTAACATGGGGCCGCTTCACATTTCAATGGCCGCCTTGTCACACCAGATTTTACCAGCAGGTAGCATTAAAGATGAGATACAAAGTGATAGAGACAAGGGGGACTACTACTAAAGTTTGGCCTCTACTCCTTAGGGTTTAGAAACTGGGCCAAAAGTAAGAGCAGGAACATTATCTCCGGTTTGAAAAAGCACTATGTGACTTCAACCAACGCTTAAAGTAAAACCGAAGCCAAAACCTTTTAGTTTTGGACAGAGCAAAGGAGGGTTATAACCCCTATACACACAGGATACAGTCCATGAACCCATCAAACTCAGAACCGCTGTTCCAAAATATTAAAATGGGTGCTGCGGCTGTCGACAGATGGCAACCGTCACAATCGCAAGTAAAAATGTAGACACCGGCACTCCAAATAGCAAATCAATAACGTCTATTTATTGACGCATGAAACATAGCATGATACATCCATTGCAACGTTTTGGGGTCTCACAGAATCCCCTTCATCAGGCAAAACAAGTGAAGTTATAACCCCTGACCCCTTTTTTTGGCAATCTTTGTCCCATTGGGGACATTTCTCTTTACTTCCTGTCTGATAGCCACATCAGCAAGTGAGAGGAATTCCCTTTAACAATAGAGAAATCTGTGGTAGCTGCAGGGTCACCAAAACAAGTGTGCCTATTGGAAGATTTCCCATCTATTCCTGTTCTGGTGACCACCCAAAATGTAAGATTTTCTTTAACACTCAGTTATGATGGTCACCAGGACAAATAGAGAAGGTGAATCTCCCTAACAGGGACACAGGCAGCAAAAAATAACCTGACAGGTGTTCTTAACCCTCTCCATTATATTCAAGACTAAAGGGAGAACAAAAGACCTCTATCAGGTTACAGAGAAAAAACACAGAAAAAATAAATAAAATAAAGCCTGGCAGGGATTTCATCACTCCTTTCTCTAAAGTGGAGTAGAAAAGTTTTGACTTTGGATGAGTCCCCCATACCCCCGCCCCCAACACACACACACATAGCGCCGATAATTTACGCAGCACTTTACATAGTTGCACATTCACATCAATCCCTGCCCTCAAAGAGCTTACAATCTAAGGTCCCTATCCAAAATACATACATACACGGCCAATTTAGACAGGAGCCAATTAACCTACCAGCATGTCGCTGGAATGTGGGAGGTATCCGGAGGAAATCCACACAAGCACAGGAAGATCATGAAAACTCCTTGCAGATGGTGTCCTGACCGAGATTGGAACCGGGGACCCCCAGTGCTGCAAAGCAGAAACGCTAACCACTACTGCGGTTGTCAGGACAGTGTTAAAATCTAGTTTACAATGGATATTGAGATCTGCCATCACAGTACAGACAGGGTTAGTTATTGTAAACATCCACTCCCCATCCCACTCCTTAACATTACATAGAAGGGGAGCGCTTCAAATTTAGAGTTTTCAGAAAAGAGCAAGTAAATGTGTGTGTATACCTCCGACACCGCTCAGCCTCCTATCACAGTCCAGCAGAGGGTGTGTGGGCAGAGACAGGCCACGCTGTCACAGGAGGCTGAGCTCTCCTCCCGCTCTGCTCGCTCAGCCTCCTGTGACAGCGTGTCAGAGAGGAGGGCGAGAGCAAACACTGTTTGTACATAATTGAGGACAAGGTATGTTAACTATATCCTCAAATATGAATTAATGGGAAGTGATCTACATCCCCTCCTGTTCATTCATAGTTGTAGTTATAGTAAGCATACCATGTTATCAATGAACAGGAACACTCATAGAGGATTCCTGTTCATTGATAACAGGGGACACAGAAAAAGAGATAGAGGACTCTGTGTCCTAAATCTCTTTTAAAAGGTAAATATCAATATTTCCCCAAAGCTCATCGTTTAAAATGATAAAACAGTGTCTTATCGGTGCATAATGAGGTGCGCTTGGAACTTGAAATGTTGCACAATGTGCAGGCTGCAACAGGTCACCTGTCATTCTATGTAAACCAGCTGCATGGATCTGGCTGATCTAATTGCTCCAATATTTTAAGCGACTGGCCAGGAACAAGTAAGAGAGAGTTCAGACGTCACTGGCTGCATGAATGTTCTAGGTCAGTGACTAAATAATTGAAGCCACAGAAAGCCAGACAACTAGGTCAGCAAAGTCCCTGTATTTTTTTTTTTCTGCTCAGGTTTCCTTTAAAACAAGGAAAAAATTGAATCAGAGGAACTGGATGCACTGAAAATAGTTACACAATCAGGAAAAGATCCAAACCGCATGATGTCAACTTGGAAATAGTTAAAGTTTACACATTTAACAACCCATAACTTACAGTGCTAAATGCTGAAACCAATTGGACTTTGTTAGGTAAAATAAAAACATACAAAATTAACCTACCCGAATCTCTTGAAGGTTGTGGAAGTTGTTTCCAACTCTGACTGAGATTTTACTTGGTGTGTAGCTTTCGTCTGACTTGTAATCAGCGTAAATGCATAAAGCTTTCACGGTAGTCTTTCTTCTATAAGCCAGAAACATAAAAAACACACAGCAAGAGAACCACAATGAAAGCTCATCAAAATGTTTTTGCTGCACTGTTAAAAGTTGGGCAATGTGAGCTTTATGCCTGAAATTATTTGCAAAGGCTTGGCACACACTTGCGCATATAAACAAGATTTACTAAACAATAAACTACAGGAAGCCTCAAGTGTAGAGTTTTGCAAACCATGTCACCAAAACAGTAATTTAAGATTCAGCCCTATTTTGCCAATTCAAAAAGCACATAAGGCAGCATTTTTGTGAATGGGACACAGTTATTACATTATGAAATTATTGGATCCGGATTACAATATAACCTATGTTTACTGGCTAGCCCTTAATAGAAGGAGGTGAGAAACCACATATTTTCTGGCCTGGAAGAAAATTATAATATCAAGCTGACAATAAAACAAAATTATAATAAAGTTTAAATAAACAGGTCCAGTTTTAGGAACTTGGTGACTTTGAAAAACAAAAAGAACTAGAAATGTCGGCCGAAAATGGTACTATGGGCAAAATGACGATAGTACAAAAACAGTCAAAAAAACAGTGCATTGCTATCTTCTCTGCTCCCCCCTGGTTGCTGGCTGCAAGCTTTAGTCTGTGTACCATCTGATCCCTGCTGCTCTCCCTCGCCTGTCGGCAAAGGCAGGGGGATCAGAGGGGACACAGAACCAATCCAGCTGCTGGCGCCCCACGGGGAGAAGAAACGCCGTTAGGAGGCCGGGCGGGCGATATGGGGAGGAGACAGCTGTCAGGAAGCGGGTGGTGCAAGGAGGAGACAGCTGTCAGGAGGCCAAGCAAGGCAGTGCGGGAGGAGAGCTCCGCTCCTGTGCCAGACAGAGCAGTGAGGATGAAGAGCAGAGATCAGTACTGATCTCTGATTGTTTTAAATAACTGAGGAAATAGTATTCTTACTGTTATAAATGACCAGGACATGCGCTACATCACTTCATGTTCATTCATGATTGAGGACATCGCATATGATACCATCTCCTCAGTCTCAGTTTATGAATGGGCAGGAGCAGCTAAGTATTGAGGCTTCCTGTTCATTCATAACAGGGGCTGCAGAAAAAGAGATTTAGGACTCTGTGTCCTCAATCTCTTTATCTATTTTAAAAGTGAGCCCAAAGCCCGAGACAGTAAAGAAAAAAAAAAGAAAAATAAATAAATAAAATAAGCGGCTCTAATATAAAGATAGATTGCCATACATCCAAATAACTTCGTTTTCTTCACCCATCATTGGAGGTTTAACGAAATCCAGCTGAACAAGTCCAGTTGAATATCACCAGCTACGAATAGCCAATCCATTTTTAATTTACACCGGCTTAGGGATTCTGGGCACTGAACTGAATAATGTTATGTGTAGGTACCTACCAAGTGTTGCCAGCATAGCTTAGTCGTTTATATGCCACTTTGTTTGCTTTAATGTTGAATGTTGGCCACAACAACTCTCATTTACATGTCAAGCGAGGCCCCACATATCTAGAAGGGAGTTCCAGGGAGACCAGTCTTCCTGCAGCTGCCACTAACTGCACCCAGGTTGGTCAAAGTACTACCCTCTTGTATACTAGGACTACAATGGATTATGTCCTATGGGCAGTCCCGTTGGGCATGTGCTTGACAAGTAAAGTGGCTTAATATCAACAATTCGATGACAGATGAGTGGCATAACAGGTACAGAGTTTTCATGCAGCAGCAGCAGGATACTCAGAGGAGCAAACTCTGAAAATTCCCAAAGACAAGTAAACAGCTACTTACACACAATCACTGCTCCCTCAATAAGTTAGCCCTCGTTCACACCTGAGCGTTTTGTAGCGCGTTCTACGCTCGACGAACGCTCTACAAACGCTCAAAAATATAAATCCCATTGTATTCAATGGTCTCGTTCCCACCTTGGCGTATTTCCGCCCGTCCCTAACGCGCTACGGCCCACGCCTGAAAAGGTACAGGTACTACTTTGGGCCGTTTTGTTGCGCGTTTCCATTGGGATACAGCCAAGTGGCCTTCAGAAACGCGCGTTTGTTGCGCGTTTTTTTTTTGTAAAAAAACGCGCGACAGACGCGCATATGCAATACGCCTAGGTGTGAACGAGACCTTAAGGTGTGGTTACCAATCAAGTTATCGGCATGTTTAACTCTTTTTCTTGCCACCCCATAACTGAGTTATGGTGAGGCAGTCAGGTTGAAAATAATCCAGTGTGCACAAATGTTTTTCCCCTGTATGGATAGAGTATGGAAGGGTTTTTACTCTGTCATATTTTATATTGCTCTCTGTGTGCCTACTCTGGATATTCACTCTCTTTATTGTCCTAGTGACTATTGTCACCAGGCTAGGGCTGAAAATGAGGGAAAATGTGACATTTTGAGTTGTCACAGGTTGAGGAACAGATAGGAAATATTTTAAAGGGAACACTTGTTCCTATGACAACTGTTTGAGAGGATTTTCCTTTACTTTGTAGATCTCCTCTTGCTTCCTAGTGTTTCCGGAGACAGTCAGTGAAAGACAATCTCCCCAATGGGACACAAAGCAAAAAAAGAAAAACAAACTTGTCAAGGGTTTAAACCATTTCGTTCTCTATTCAAAACTAAACAAAAGTTGTGGCTATAGACATATACTGTGTATGTACACTGAGTGGCCAGATTATTATGACCAACCCATCAGTACTTCGTTGGGCCGCCTCGTGACTCCACGAGATGACTTAGTTGGGCCGCCTCGTGACTCCACGAGATGTTGAAAGGTGATGCGAGGAATCTGACACTGCACTGTTGTCTTGTACCAGTCTTGCCACTCTCCGTTCTGCCCTAACATTGACTAGTCGCTGACGGCCACAATTCGCACGTTCAGACCCAGATTTCCGGCTGACAGTCCAGTCTTTAAACACTTTAACAACAGCTGCTCTTGAACATTTAACGAAATCTGCTGTTTTGCTGATACTCGCTCCATGGCTCCGAGCGCCAACAATCATCCCGCGTTCAAAGGCTGTTAAATCGCGTTGTTTACCCATATCTTCAGAAAAAAATCACTTCTACTGTCGTGGTAAACAACCTGCTTCCCTATTTATAATGGTCTGGCCCTCTAGCAACTTCAGCGCCAAATTATAGCTAATTTGTCTACAAACGTCAGGTGGTCATAATAATCTGGCCACTAGATATATATTTAGCTTCTCCCATTCCTGTAGAAGTTATTTGGGTGGCTGTAAGGACACAGTAGTGACCGATAAGAACCACAACACCCAGTGAAGAACTGGGTAACTCTCCTCCTCCTGGAAGTGTCAGATACCAGAAAAGCCTGTAGGGCTTCAAGAGATTACCAGTGCTGCTCAACCATTTTGAGCATAAAGCAATATATAAAAAAAAAATATTTACCGAAACTGAATATTCACTAAATGAGGTTGAGATCCATCAGATTGCCAGTAAGTTTCCAAGTTATCGTCTCGTAACTGATCGACTCCAAACCCTTAGGGGAGAAAAGAAGAGAGAGTATATTGCAATGTACAAATGCACGCAAACTAGGATTATCTTCCTTCAAAGTGCATTAAAAATGAACTGCTTTAATGTGCAAGGTATAAAAATGTTGTGCATTCTATTCAAAGTACTGATATCTCCCCATTCTCTAGAACAGGTGCAGTACATAGCACAAGGCATAGTGCAGGGGAAAATCCAGCCAGGGCACTCTGTTCTCCCTGGGCTTGCGTGTGTTTCCTACTAAATTCCAGAAAACAGTAAGTCCCCCTGCACTCCCTGCAGCGTTCCCGGTCCAAGTAATAATCGTGGTGCTCGAAGTGACGAGTGACATCTCTGCCCTGATGAAGAGACCCTGCGTGGTCCCGAAACGTTGGATTATGCGATCGGTGTGACGTTTGGTCCAAATAAATGGATGTTATTCTTTGAACTTTATTTGCTGAGTGCTGGTGATTTCTATCCTTCATTGTTTCCTACTAAAGACATGCTGGTAAGTTCATTGGCTCTAATATAATATTCTACTGAACGCATCCAGGATGAATGCCTCACCATGTTGTCTCCAGCCTACTTCCAGGTTGGATGACACCCAGTGTCATCCAACCTCCTCCTATGTACCCTGGCTGTCGTGGCCATACCTCCTTCATGTGGGTCCTGTCTTCACAAGTAAAGCCTGGTATACACATATATATTTTCTTCATTCAACCTGCGGGCTAAAAAAAGAAAAGACAGATTCCTCCATCAATGCTTATGAGCGTTGATCGAGGAATCGCCCCGCAGATTCTATTGTACCAGCCACTGTCGGAATACCCGAATGGAGCCTGCAGCTGATTGGCTGCCAGGTTCGTTCGGCCGAGAAATTTCCAACAGGCTCCTTCGATCAGCTGATCAAGGGATGCCAGCTGGAAGGGTGACTTCAGTGGCGCTCACTCTGCTAATTTTGGTCAGACCAGCAAAAGCCAAAATTCGATACGTGTATACCCAGCTTTACTCACTATCCTGAATACAGGGCAGTCAAGCATACAAAATGAATGCTATATTTTTTATTTTACAATAGAGTGTACCTTCAATTTTGAGTAAACCTAGCTCTTTTTTTTTTTTTAGTTACAGATTCATGCTAAAATGCTCAGAGGTTTCTTTTATCTCTGCATTTTATGTAATGGATACACACATAAAATCTGAAAGACCAGGGAACAGCTGGCAGAGTGGTGGTCATACCAAATCAGAATCAACCCACTGCCATCCACCCAAAACAGATTATATATACACAGTATACATTTTTTTATGCGTGGACTCAAATAAGAGGGATTTATTTGTAAAGTTTCTTTAAAAGCTCATTAGTGCAATTAACTATAAATATAGTACCTGGTTTACAAGAAGACAAAGACCAAACCGCCTGAGAACCAATTTCCCGAACAGTACCAGTTCTTTTTAATTGATTGGGGTCGGCACCTGGTGGAGTCTTGTTCGGTGTTGTCATTTCCAACTACTGCAGGACAAAAAAAAACTTATCATAGAAAAAAGAATACATTTACTCAGACTTTACCTATTATTTAAAGAGACCCTGTTGCCAGACCATTCATTTCAACATCCACCTTCCAATAAGATTATTTGTTCATTTACCTTATTTTAGACATGGTATTTACCTGTAAAAGCCTACCTTTTGCAGAGATTCAAAACCATGATGCTGCTGCTGGGCATTGCTACATTGGATGTGATGTTAGCAGCCCCAGCAGGCTGAGGGTGACACTCGATAGTATTCCCCTTCACTTCTTTATGGCAGCTACATAAAACGTTATGTAGGGAGCTGAGGCAAGAGGCAAAAAAGCTGTCAGCAAAGACAGTAATGAAACACTCCCAATAAAGCAGAGGGCAATGTTGGGGGACTGTGCTTGGAAACTGACACGTCTGGTTAAAATTCGTCAGTAAGTTCAGAGACACGTTGCAAGTGAATACAAACTAATTTATGCAATAGAATAACGCTGCAAGTAAGCACTTATTCTTTTTGCCCCCCTCTCCTGACAAACAATCCTGCCCTCCCCCTCCACACAGATCTATACTCAACGAGATCCAAGGGCTACTGCTTTACTTTTTGTTGACATCCAGCGCTGCGAGTCTCCCCTTCCTGACCGTGTCACTCTCTCGGCTGGGAGATGGCCCCATACAAGTCTATGGAGCTGTAATGTGCAAGTGCGATCGGCAGAGGGAGCATTGTGGCAATGGTTGTAAACAACAGTGCAACCGTTCCCATTGGATCTCGGTTGGTATGGATCTGCTGAAGGGAAAGGTGGACTCATTTAAGTAAGAAATTGGAGGCAAAAAGGATGGGGAAGTGTAGGGCTGCAACTAACGATTATTTTCGATTAGTTGGCCCATTATTTTTCGATTAATCGATTTAAAAAAAATACCATCTTTTATTTCAAATAAAATACATAAATGGAATGTTACAAACCAAGTATGCTTCAGAATAAAACGGAATGCAAATTTTTTGCACTCGCACCGCACTGGAACACATGGTATTGCAGTACCCCACGTTCCAGTGCAGGCAAATCACACTGTGGCCAGGATGCGCGTTAGGGATGCCATTGAAATTAACACCACCACATGCACATTCCGGAGCCGAATCGTCAGGCCGACACACACACCAACCACTTTACTAGGTACACCTTGCTAGTACCAGGTTGGACCCCCTTTTGCCTTCAGAACTGCCTTAATGCTTTGTGGCATAGATTCAACAACGTGTTGGAAACATTCCTCAGAGATTTTGGTCCATATTGACATGATAGCATCACGGGCCCAAAGTGTGCCAAAAAAATATCCCCCACACCATTACACCACCACCAACACCAGCCTGAACCACTGATACAAGGCAGGATGAATCCATAAACAAACAAGGTTTGGAATTCATATGCTTGGCACGGATATAGATGAATATAATAAATCAGGAATATTGGAAACACTATGAAAATGTTTAATAAATGCATGCACACAATAGGTTGGACTTGATGGACCTATGTCTTTATTCAACCTCAAATACTATGTAACTACTAAATAAGGAGATCAAGGTTTCACATATTGGCACCTAACCATGGTTGTATAAACTAACAGAGTTTTTTTTGTTGTTACACAGAATTGGGACACATAAGTTCATAGATTGCTGCACAGCTATTTTCTCACACAATTTAAATTATTATCTGTATTGGCAAAGTGGCATTGCTATGAGGAGACTATCAATTTGAGAGTATATTTATGCACATTTAGACTGAGCGCAACATAATCAGCACTACTATACAAGGATGAATCCATGCTTTCATGTTGTTTACATCAAATTCTGACCCTACCATCTGAATGTCACAGCTGAAATCGAGACTCATCAGACCAGGCAACGTTTTTCCAATCTTTTATTGTCCAATTTTGGTGAGCCTGTGCGAATTGTAGCCTGGTCTTTTAGACCCCTAGTGTCACCTTTCCACTTCACTGGGGAATGACAGCTGCCCGCTGAGTGTCAACACAGCAGGCAGTGGCTGGGAGCAATAGCCAGCCTGCTATTGGCTATCTTAAATTGCAAAAGCAGGCTGGCTATAGCACCCCCCACTGCCTGCTGTCAATCAGCAGGAGGAGGGAACTGAAGTAGAAAGTTTTCCTTCAGGTCCTCATCTGCTGATTGACAGCAGGCAGTGGACGGGTGCAATAGCCATCCTGTGATTATTAACACTCAGCAGTGCTGAACTATATTATTTATGATAAATGAACCTAATGCGCAAAGAATAACATATAGCAGACAGGCATTGCAATACTGGACATTGCCATTATCTTTGCTCTGCAGTGATGGCATATAATATGGCCTAATACCTTCATATGATGTGTCACAGTCCTGATAAATAAAACTGGGTCTTTAACACACACATATAACAGCTACTCCCATTATCTGGATGGATATAATGATGGATTACTGTTGAAATATATCCTAACATTGCACTAACTTTCTTAGCTGGATAATCCTTGGTGCATAGTACACTTTGCACACCCAGTTGCTTACGTCATAGGCGGTTGTTTGCACTGCAAGGAATTACGGATTAACTTAGTAAAGAGGTTCAGTGTATCTATTAACATGTCCTGCAGGAATTCTTTAAAGTATTTTTAAATGTTTGTTACCATATATGTTCTGAGATAAATGTGATTTAAAGTGTATACTTTAAAGTGTATAGTGTATATATAATTTTTTTATGCAGTTTACAGGATGTTTATTTGCCCATATACAGACATAACCAAAGGGGCCATTATGGCCAATAGCATTTTTATTTAAAGCAGATGGGAGGACACAAGTCCAAGGCAGACGGAGGCATATAGAGTGATAACAATGTCATATAGAGTGAATAACAAACGTCACATCAAGATATTTCAACAAAGGTTTAAAGGTATCTCAGGAGTCTGTTATTCAACACCTTGAGTGGCAGTTTTTAAAATGGGCTCTTATGCATCTCCATCCTTTATGTTTTTAATTTTTCTGTAAAGCATTTTATGAAAAGACAATGAAAGGACAGCTGAGATATTGAGTAGAGGAAGTGGGAAGTAGCTCTCCAATGTCCAATAAATTGTGAGCAAGCCAGCAGCTGATCGAGGCGGGATTTAGATCTATGCATTGTAACCGGGTGTACTAAAACCCTCATGACCACAAGACACAGTATCGTAATACACAGTATATGTGCGCTTTCATGTATTCTACATGGCACCCAAACAAACATATGTGGTAGGCAGCAAAATACCTTCACTATGGCGTACCACATCACACGCATTAGAATGTTCTGTGTGTTTGGGTGGACTATGCTGCCAAATATAGAGCATTACTCCATGCATTGAGGCATTTTAATAGTGCAGCTGCATTATTTCATGTGTTGAGGCGTGCTTATAGTACAGCTGCATTATTTCATGTGTTGAGGTGTGCTTATAGTGCAGCTGCATTATTTCATGTGTTGAGGTGTGCTTATAGTGCAGCTGCATTATTTCATGTGTTGAGGTGTGCTTATAGTCCAGCTACATTATTTCATGTGTTGAGGTGTGCTTATAGTGCAGCTGCATTATTTCATGTGTTGAGGTGTGCTTATAGTCCAGCTACATTATTTCATGTGTTGAGGTGTGCTTATAGTGCAGCTGCATTATTTCATGTGTTGAGACGTGGTTATAGTACTGCTGCATTATTTCATGTGTTGAGGCGTGGTTATAGTACAGCTGCATTATTTCATGTGTTGAGGCGTGCTTATAGTGCAGCTACATTATTTCATGTGTTGAGGCGTGCTTATAGTGCAGCTACATTATTTCATGTGTTGAGGCGTGCTTATAGTGCAGCTACATTATTTCATGTGTTGAGGCGTGCTTATAGTGCAGCTACATTATTTCATGTGTTGAGGCGTGCTTATAGTGCAGCTACATTATTTCATGTGTTGAGGCGTGCTTATAGTGCAGCTACATTATTTCATGTGTTGAGGCGTGCTTATAGTGCAGCTACATTATTTCATGTGTTGAGGCGTGCTTATAGTGCAGCTACATTATTTCATGTGTTGAGGCGTGCTTATAGTGCAGCTACATTATTTCATGTGTTGAGGCGTGCTTATAGTGCAGCTACATTATTTCATGTGTTGAGGCGTGCTTATAGTGCAGCTACATTATTTCATGTGTTGAGGCGTGCTTATAGTGCAGCTACATTATTTCATGTGTTGAGGCGTGCTTATAGTGCAGCTACATTATTTCATGTGTTGAGGCGTGCTTATAGTGCAGCTACATTATTTCATGTGTTGAGGCGTGCTTATAGTGCAGCTACATTATTTCATGTGTTGAGGCGTGCTTATAGTGCAGCTACATTATTTCATGTGTTGAGGCGTGCTTATAGTGCAGCTACATTATTTCATGTGTTGAGGCGTGCTTATAGTGCAGCTACATTATTTCATGTGTTGAGGCGTGCTTATAGTGCAGCTACATTATTTCATGTGTTGAGGCGTGCTTATAGTGCAGCTACATTATTTCATGTGTTGAGGCGTGCTTATAGTGCAGCTACATTATTTCATGTGTTGAGGCGTGCTTATAGTGCAGCTACATTATTTCATGTGTTGAGGCGTGCTTATAGTGCAGCTACATTATTTCATGTGTTGAGGCGTGCTTATAGTGCAGCTACATTATTTCATGTGTTGAGGCGTGCTTATAGTGCAGCTACATTATTTCATGTGTTGAGGCGTGCTTATAGTGCAGCTACATTATTTCATGTGTTGAGGCGTGCTTATAGTACAGCTGCATTATTTCATGTGTTGAGGTGTGCTTATACTACAGCTGCATTATTTCATGTGTTGAGGTGTGCTTATAGTACAGCTGCATTATATCATGTGTTGAGGTGTGCTTATAGTACAGCTGCATTATTTCATGTGCTGAGGTGTGCTTATAGTGCAGCTACATTATTTCATGTGTTGAGGCGTGCTTATAGTCCAGCTGCATTATTTCATGTGTTGAGGCGTGCTTATAGTACAGCTGCATTATTGCATGTGTTGAGGCGTGCTTATAGTACAGCTGCATTATTTCATGTGTTGAGGCGTGCTTATAGTACAGCTGCATTATTTCATGTGTTGAGGCGTGCTTATAGTGCAGCTGCATTAATTCATGAAATTAGGTGTTGTCATAATGCACTATTTCATGCACTGGGGTATGTTATTGGTAAAACTGCATTACTTTATGCGTGCTGAGGGCTCATTCGAAGGTTGACGCAACAGGCCATCCATGGAAAATGCATGTGTTAATATGTAAGCATTAACGCATGTAAAGGTGTAAATGGGCTCTAAAACAGTCAAAGTACACCTGTGGCTTAGTTTTTATTTTGGGTGGACTTTCCCAGCTTTCCGCTGATCCAGATCTCCTTGTGTGACAGTAAGATGCCCCTTGTTAATTATATAATTAAACCATGGTCATAGAATGGTAGTCCAGTCAGCAGAGTTCTGTTACTTTGTCATGGATACAATTCGTTTAAACATGTAGAGAGGGGCTGGCTAAGAACAGGTGTCCAGAAGAAATGCCAGAAAATTGAAAATATAAAACCGTGAGTCTACAAACCTGACTGTGCTTCTTTAGGTGATTGCGTAATACAGTATGAGATGTGGACCAGAGAAGACAAGCTAAAAAGAAATAAAGAGGAAATGTTATAAAAGAAGGCACTGAACTGTTATAGCTCTTGTATTAAATCATTTTTTAAAGAACAGGGTCGGACAAATTAATATGGAATCCAGGAAGCCAGCAGGACTATTTTAGGAGCCAGCTCCGCTGACAACTACAGAAAACCTGAAAAAAGTCAGAGCCAGCTATATTTTTTTACGGCGCATTGGTGACCTGGCTCCTGGGATTTGTCCAGCCCTGTTTTAGAGTAACAGGCAAACGTGCTGAGGGCTCATTCACATCAGGGTCCAACAAAGGCCCAAATCATACTACCTAATTCAATAGAAACAGAAGGGCGCAATTAAACAAGATAAAAATAATCAAAGGAATCTAGGATATGGATTCATTTTACATTGCTTACCAACAGAAAAAAAAAAAAAGTACCAGTATTGGTTATTTGTTATTACTGTGCACAATGACTAACAAAACAAGTTAGTAGATTTTCTTTTCCATACCATAAAGTCAAAGTAACTACCTGCATATTAAATTATATGACACTACTATTTCAAACTGAATGTATCCAAAACTGCAAGCAAGCTAACCATTCGATCTTTAAATCTGCATGAAACATGTTGAGATTTAAACATAGCACACTATACAGAAATATCAAACATCTGATACTAATCTACTACAATGATCCTAGAACAAGTACAAAACATACTGTACAAAGCTGCCCACTATCACTGGTTTCACAGGTCAATTCTATAAAATCTATCTATTGATACAATCTGCTGCGAGAGGTGCATTGCAGTGCCATTCATGTCAATGGCACCCCAAACGTGCCTCCCACCCACAGTGTGATCGCCCGCACTGGAACGCACAGTACCGTCACGCCGTGCATTCCACTGCAGTGCGATTGCAAAAAATTATGCATGCAGTTTTACTCTAAAGTAAACCTTATGTTTGTAATACTGCAATTGTGTATTTTATTTTAAATTAAGGACGGTATTTATTTTTTATTCAGATCAAAAACATAATCGGCCAACTAATTGATTATGAAAATAATTATTAGTTGCAGCCCTAAACTTCAGTACAAATGAGTAAACTAAACATGTGATTGTAGTCAATCACAGGAGTGAGCTTGGAGCGGTGGCTACTTTACAACACACACAGGGACCATGGGGAACAAAAGTAGTCACCCTCCAGAAGGAAGGACAGTGTCAGCACAAATTCAGAGATGATTTGAGGATCTACAGCTGAGTGATATACAAATAAGATACATTTTTGTTAATCGTTCAGGTACTTGAATACATTTTTAAGATTTAACGTCACTACAACACAGGGGAAGCCCCACAGCAAGAGGATTTTTTTTCGTGGAGAGGGCTTTAAAAGAGAACTATGGAGTAAGTGTTGTTGCCCATAGCTCTCTTAAGGGTCACGGGAGGACATATACTAGCGTCCTCCCGTGACCAAAAGCTCAGTATATTGCAAGCTACAGCTTGTGGTATACTGAGACCGCCGCAGCCGGGACGGATCCCGACAATACTGTCAAGATCCACCCAGCTGCGTGAATGATACAGACACAGAGCCAGCTGTACCCGCCCCCTCCCCCAGCCGTTCCTCCAGTCAGCACTGACAGCCACGGCTCTCTGCAGGGAGACGATTGAGCGACGTTATGTGTTCGCTCACTTCCCGATCTATTGAGCCGACGTGTGACAGTTTAATTGTCACGCGTCGGCTCGAACTATGAGGATGAGTGATTTTTACTCACCTCATAGTTCTCCTTTAAGCCAGAGGGTCAGAAACAATAGCCAGGCAAGTAGCATTTTCAGGAGGTCAGCAATGGCAGCCCCAGATTTACTTTAAGATTTATGAATAGCCAAAACAAGGCAGGAAAAGCCAGAGACACCAAAGATCTCTCCAAAGTGAGGAGAACTTCCGTCTCATGCAGTTGTCACCAGGACAGGTGTCATTGGAAAGTTTACCTCTTGGATTTTCCTTCGCTTTCGGTTTCAGTAAGGATGGTCACCAGCACAGAGAGGGTGAATTTACCTAGTGGGGTATCCAGGTGACGGATTATCTCCAGAACAGAAAGTGAGGAAAATCCATACAATGGTCACCAGATCAAGAGGTGAGGGTACATCTTACAGTACAAGGGAAGTGGACCCCCGTGCGGCCCCAAAAGCGCTTGTACTGGAATGAGTTGATTTCCCTGAAATGGTGTGCTGGTGACATCCTTTTACATCTTACAATGGGCACGCCTTCTCCAGTGACAACTGTATAAGATGAATATCCCCCTCAAGTTATCATAGATTTCCTCTTACTTCCTGTTGTGTTTCCAGGACAGGAAGTAAAGGGAAATCTTCCCAACAGGACAGATAGAGAAATAATAACCTCACAGAGATTTAACCCTTCCATACTCTAAGGTGAAAAGATAAAGTGTTGGCTATACCGGGGTGGACAAATCAATATGGAATTCAGGAGCCAGTTCCATTGACAACAACTAGAGGAAGCCACAAAAGTTATGAGCTAGCTGTCATTTCTAAGGCGCATTAGCTACCCGGTTCCTGTGATTTGTCCAGCCCTGAGATATACTACACTTGCTAATAAGCCATCAATTAGGTCCAACTTCAGGCTTGCTATACACCCTGGAACATGTCATCTCTCAGAAGCTAAAAGGGGTCAAGCCTGGTAGCTCCATTATAACACTGACAGGTACCCTTAAGAAGAACAAGACGTCAACACTGTGAGTAGAGCAGGATGACAGCAGCTCTCAGACACCATTGCATGGTGGACCTACTCTGTACTGGGCGGGGATCATATACAGTCTGCTCACAGCGCTCACTTCATCCCCGACACTTCCAAATCCACTTCAAAAGATCCCCAACATAACCGCCAGCATTCTTTGCTCGCAAAAGACGCCTTCTGATGACATCATCTCCGCGACTCCATAATGTGCACGGAGAGGGCCTGCGTTCCACAGTGAAACGCAGCGCTGTACGTCAGCGGTGTGGGAGGGAGCGTCAGAAGCGACCATTTTGGCCGGTTTCTCTTCGTGTGGTTTGCACGTTGCTGCCCGGGGAGGAGAGCTAGAGAGACCGCCGAGAGCAGGGGCAAGGAAGATATCTTCCAGCAGGCCTCCCCCCCCCCTTTCCCATCAGCTAGCCACAGGGGCAGCAAGTCCCTCCCCGTCCTACAACCGGTAAGTGACCGCATGTACGGCCTGCCATCTGGCCTTGCTGTTCCAGGTAGGGCGACGCTGGGAAGTGCGTCACCTGCTGGTCTGACTCAACTAGGTGCCCCATAAAATCAGTGGAGTGAGCTCTGAATGGCGTGGCCATAATTACTGTATGGGGGTGATCCGGGGTACGGCGTGTTAGAGATCTGGGGGGGGCTTTATAGTGGTGGTTCCCAGAGAGCTCTTTGGTTGGTAGTATTATAAGAGACTGCTATTATTAGAGGAGACTGCTAGGATGCATTATGGGCGGCTTCTAGGGTGCGTTACAGGAGACTGCTAGAATGCATTAGGAAGGCTGCTGGGGTGCGTTACAGGAGACTGCTAGGATGCATTAGGAAGGCTGCTGGGGTGCGCTACGGGAGGCTTTTGGTGCTGACACTGTCCTTCCTTCTGGAGGGGTGCTACTCTTGGTCCCTATGTGTGTTGTAAAGTAGCCGCCACTCCAAGCTCACTCCTGTGATGGACTACAATCTCATGTTTAGTTTACTAATTTGTATTGAGATTGTAGTCTATCACAGGAGTGAGCTTGGAGCGGTGGCTACTTTACAAAACACACAGGGACCACAGGGAACAAAAGTAGCCACCCTCCAGAAGGAAGGACAGTGTCATCATGAATTCAGAGATGATTTGAGGATCTACAGCCGGGTGATACACAAATAAGATACATTGTTGGTAATAGTTGGGGTACCTGAATGTATTCCTAAAATGTCACTCCTGAGTTTAGTGTCAGTTGAACCTTTTGAAGGCCCTCAGCATGTTGGTAATATAGACTTAGCTGGAATGCATCTCCCTGACCAGGCAAAGCCTCCAAATCATCAGTGGTGGACCTGTCCGCCTTTACTCTCTTCACTTCAATAGAAAGCCCAGCCACAGGTTGTCATCCTGTGACCAGGTTTTCATTGGCAATGAATGAAGTTGGTCACATATGCTGACACTGTGCTGGAGCCTCTTCTGGTGTGATTTGGGGTACTAACACTCCCTAGGATTTGTCATATCGATGGTGACATCACCACCTGCAACTATGGCAGCCGGGGTCAGGAAATATTCCCTATCATTCCCCACAGGCTTTTAAAAAAAAAAAGCAATGGACAGATTTTTTCGGAACCCTCGCACTGGGGCTGTCCCAGTACTGGAAGGGTTAACTGCTCATTGTTGTCTAGGTTAAAAATGAAAACCTGTTATATTCACCTGATCCTCAGAGCCGGCTTGCTCTTAGACCGGTTCCTGAAACCTCGGTCCCCCTCCACTGCAGTGGGCTACGACGCTCCCGTAAACCATCATGTTCTATACACAGGGTAGAGATGGGAGGATGCCGAGGGACATTCCATTGCTGCAGTATAGGGTGAGGGTGTTATAAGTGATTAATGGCTCTAAAATGATTGCTCTCACTCCGACGTTTGCGGCGATATGTAACGTATGTTCGCACGTAGGCGCACCCGAAGCATATCTGCATGTGCATGTGGGGGGCGGGGACTTAAAACATTGTTTTCTTTTTAATTTTCTTTATGCTTTTATTTTTTTGTATGATTCTTTAAAGGAGAACTAACGTATGAGGTGAGTGCTTTTCACTCACCTCATAGTTCTAGCCGACCTGTGACAATGAGACTGTCACAGGTCGGCTCAGTAGATCGGGAAGTGAGCGAACACATACCGGCGTTCACTCACTTCTCGATCCTGTCCCTGCAGAGAACCGTGACAGGGGAGGGACTGGATTCCCCCTCCCCTGTCCGATCCTTCAGCGCTGACTGGCGGATCGGACGGGGGGGGGGCGTGTACAGCTGGCTCTGCCTCTAGATAGGCAGAGCCAGCTGTCGCTCGCGCAGCTGGGCGGATCCAGACATAATTGTCGGGATCCGTTTCAGCTGCGGCGTCTTAGTATACCACAAGATACTGAGCTTAGGGTGACGGGAGGACGCTAGATTGTGTCCTCCCGTTACCCTTAGGAGAACTATGGGAAAAGCCCTAACCCCATAGTTCTCCTTTTAATTTTTGTATTACTTTTTTTTCTTTTACACACAACTTTATTGCTATTACATGGGGGCCAAGAAGCCCCTTATGTGATAGCCAATTTACATGACAGGTCCTCTTTATGGAGACATCAGGGGTCCCCAAGACCCCCAATGTCACCTAGGGACCCCCAGAGAAGCTGATATAGTAGAGATCTTCTTCATCAGCTTCTGTAGCTGGGAGAGTGACACTGAATGCAGGAAGTGATGTAATATACATCACTTCCTCCATTCTGGGACTGAGAGGAGATCAAAGGGAGTTTGTATACTGAACTCCCTTTGATCTCCTGCCACAGAGCCGTCGTGGTCGCATCGGGCACAGCGGCTCTCGGGACTGGCAACGGCAGTGACAGGTGCTAATACAAGCGATCAAGTGTCCCTAGAGACGCCATTGACTTCAATACACCGCCACGCCTCCTCCCGCCCCTGAATACAGGGAGCTGGCCAGCCTGCGTTCCAGAGGCCGAATGCACTGTAATGTGGACTTTGTGGTGTTAACCGGCCCTGAATCACTTAATTGACTGCTAGCCAGTCACAAATAAGGAAGTGCTTTTTGCCTTTTTTGGAATGAAGAATTGGATTACAGTTGTCCATCTATATTGGATTTTGAAAAGTGAAGGCAATTCTTCAGTTATGTGACAATATTTGGTTCATTGCTTTTAGTCTTTAATGACCGTGTTTGTAGATTTTATTTAGACTGTTATAGCACATTGTGTGTCGTTTTTTTTTGGGGGGGGGGGGGGTTTGTGTTTGGCGTTAGCA